GTTGTTGTTGTTGTTGTTGTTGTTGTTGTTGTTGTTGTTGTTGTTGTTGTTGTTGTTGTTGTTGTTGTTGTTGTTGCTGTTGTTGTTGTTGCTGTCGCAGTATTTCCCGAAATTGGCCAAATTGATCAGAATATCTATTTATAATTTCATAGAGTTTTTCTCTTTCTTTGTCGTCCCCCTCCCTTAAAATTCTTTCTACCCCTTGGATTATAAGGCTTATATAATCCGCTTCGATTCTTGGACGTTCTTTAAGTCGTACCAAGCCGTGACTGACTTGATACGCAACGTACGTGAACTCATTTATGAGCTGATTTGAACAACTCCCCCATGCAGCTTTGACCAGACGAGAAACGCTTTTCTGGTCTATTTTGGGAAAATTTTCCCTTAAAAATGGGCCTATATCGAGCCTCATAATGAAAAAGGCATTGATTTTGTTTCTGGCTGGATGGTTATTAATGACTCTGTCGTTTTCATTAACGAAGCGACTAATATTTGCCATTTTTAACAACGTACAACAATTTGAGTATTATTATATTAATTTATCGATTTTTTCGAAGACGATGAGAGGATGGGTGGTAGTCAACAAAAACTCGCCTGCTTATTTATACAATATTTTTTTTTCGATTTTAACTGGAAAAATAACCTTGTTTTTTCCAAAAGAAACATTAGTAATGTTATTACGCGTATTAAGTGAATTATTAATACATTGTCTTTTAATTGTTTCGCGGAAAATGAAACTCCAATACGAAAAGAAAGAATCGAAGTTTTTTGGTTTGGGAAAAGTCATGATTGATTTCTTTTGATTTCCAAAGTAAGCAGTCTTCATGGTTGCCTTCCAAGTTAAGTTTTCACGCGTATAAAAAAAAATTTCAAATGTTTTTTGTGTTTCATGTGATTATTATTATGGTTAGTGTCATTCATTGAGAAACACAAGTGTTCCTAATAATAATTTATTTGTTATAATTATAAATATAACAGAGAAAAAAAAGCACCGAGCAGTTGTTAGAGAAATATGGACTAAGAGCAGGAATTTAGACTTGGCGAAGTTTATTGATAGAATATTCTAGTGATAAAAAAAGGAATTTGTTTAATAGACTTCCTAATTTGATTGGAAGATTTTATCTACATTTATATGATTTATATGTCAATCTTATAAAGATTTGAAAATTTTGATAAATGAGAAAAAAATAAAAATCCAAAAATATCTTAGTTTCTATTGAAATTAGTTTTTAAAGTAATTGAAATAGAGTTATTTATGGATTGAAAAGGCTTTAATTTCGACATAAAGATTAAATCGGATATCAATTCCTTTACAAAATTCAAACAACAGGTAAAAATTAATTTATTAACGTGCCATTTCCCAATACCAAAAATAATTGGCAATACTTCTTCTTTCATTCCAAATATAGTCGGATTAGCCAACTAATAAGATAATAATAATCAACTGGTAGTATTTTTATTATTAAATTTTTTATTTTTAGTTTTTATCCAGAAACTGGTTATGGTTTTGGTGTTAATTTCGGACTTGCATTTATCAAATTTGACTAAATCAGAACAAACTTAACTAAAACAACATTCTTTGTCCGCAAAAAATCAACATTGCGTTCCTGTGATCAATAAGAGCGTTTTGGCTGAGCTACGCGCGGAGATCTTAAATAAAAATGATAAAATTACACAGTCGTATTTTAAGAAAAATATGCGCGTGCATACTCTTCTGCTAAGAAGGAATTGTAAAAATTATTAATTAGGAAGAAAAACTTTATTCTTTTCCTTTTACGTATGGTATCTTCATTCAATTTCATCCGGTTGTATTTATACACATTTACTTCTGGAGAATGATTGGTGTTTCTAGCCTTTTTGGTGGAATTGAGTTTTTGATTGTTTGGCTAGTGTTAGTTTAATATAATAATAATCGTTACTATTGTTTATAATTATTTTTTTGAGGTTTCACACAAAATACTTGCAGTGGGTTATTATTTAAAGGGTAACTTTTTTTCGTAATTTTTTTATCTAATAAATAATTTTTTACGGAAAAATTGATTTTTAACGAAGTTGTTTTTTTTTGTCACCTGATGTGCACTCATCATCGTGTTACAAAAATCACAAAAAATTACCAAATTTTTTGATGATCTCCTCTCTTTTTTAACATTTTGGACAATGGAACGAAATGAAATTTCCGCAATTGCTAACGGACCACCGATTAAAAAACGCAAATTATGCAAAACAAAGTTTATAATTGGCAATAATAAAGATAATGGCAACAGTAATGATATTATGAATGAATTAAAAGATATTGTGTTCCAATATGAAAATGGTAATAGTTATTGAAAATTTTTTTATTATTTCCATATAAATCTATTAATAATAATAATTTATGCGTGAATATTATTAGGTTTGCGTAAAGTAAAACCATATTATTATAATTATAAAACTTTTGCTAAAGGTCGTTGGTTAGGACGCAACATACTTGATATTTTTATTACAGAATTTCGAGACAGGTTCAAAGAATATTATGTATGTATGGAAAGAATGAATAAATAATAACGAGTGAATGAATGAATTGTGTGTTATTATTATTATTCTTATGTTATCTTCTTCTCAATCATCTTCTTTTCCGTAAAAAAATAAAATTTAATAGACAAATGCCATTGAAAAAGGATTAATTACAATCAATGAGAAAATTGTCAAAACTGAAACAAAAGTAAAAAATCAAGACATAATTGGGCATAAAATTCATCGTCATGAACCTCCAATCACATCAACTCCAATAAATATTCTGCATAAAGAAAATGACTTGATTGTTATCAATAAACCCGCGAGTATTCCGGTCCATCCATCCGGAAGATATAGACATAACACTGTTTTACATATTTTAAAAAAAGAACATGGTTTTTCTAATGATCTTCATAGTAAGTTCTTTTGTGTTTAAAGAATCTACTAGTTATATATGATTAATCTATTTGTTTATTTTTTTAATAGCAATTAATCGACTTGATCGATTAACATCAGGTATAATGTTGTTGGCTTTAAGTAAAGAGAGAGCTAAAGAATTAGAACAACAGATGCAACGAAGAAAAATCAAAAAAGAGTATATTTGTCGAGTGTTTGGCAAATTTCCAGAGTAAAAATCTTTTTTAAATTATGTTGATGATGATAATGATAATAATCATGATGATATTGATAATAGTTATTAACTCAAAAAAATTTTTTTTAATAATTTTATATACTTTTTAGTGGGGAAATAATATGTGAACAACCAATTAAATGTGTATCTCATAAGCTTGGATTAAATATAGTTGATAAAAATGGAAAACCATCCACCACTATATTTGAAAAAATCAGCTATAACAAAAATACTAGCGTAGTTAAATGTATCCTTTTAACTTTCCAAAAATAAAAATATGATTTTTGTTATTATTATCATTATTATTATTTAACAAAAAATTTACTAACAATTAGGTAAACCTTTGACAGGCAGAACTCATCAAATTCGTGTACATCTTCAATACCTTGGATATCCAATTGCTAATGATCCCTTATATTGTAATAAAAAGGTTTGGGGCAGTAATTTAGGTAAAGGTGGGATAAATGAGGAAGCTGGTGATGGTCGCAACGAAGATGATAACGATCAACCATCAATTAAGAATATTATAGAGAAACTTTCAAATGAGGTGGGAGACGACGATGAAATTGATTTAAATCTTAAAAAAACAGACAATGAACAATCTAAGGAGAAAATAGATTTGATGATTGGAGATAAAAATGAAGAATCTGATGAATATTACTGTGAAGAATGTAATATAAATAAATTTCCAGATCCTAAGCCTAATCAATTATTAATTTGGTTACATGCTTTGAAGTATGAAGGCGAAGGATGGGAATTTAAAACTGATTTACCTGATTGGGCCGAAGATAATTATATTGTTATTGATGAAAATTAAATTTTATTTTTCTGATAATAGAGAAATAAAAAAATAATACATATTAAAATCCTTTCTTTGTCAACCAATCATTTAATTCATGACGATAATCGCCTTTTATTATTATATGACCAGTGTTATCATTGATTGTAACCAAAGTATTAGGGAAAAGTTTTTGAAGTTCTTTATGTAAAGCCTAGTAGTAATAATAACATTATTGTCATTATTTATTGATTTATTGATTTGAATCACGAATAAACGACAATAACGATAATGGTAAATTATACATTTTTATACACTAACGAAACATTAGAACAAACTATATTATATTTAACTATATGTATGATGTGTAGTAACACATGATAATAATAATAATCAAAGTGGTAATGGTAATTTGTATATCTTTAAGCAATTTTTTTTTTTTTACAAAATTTATAACGAGACATTAAAAACAAGTCACATTATACATATTTAATTATATATAAAATATGTAGTGTCAACAAATGATGACAACAACAACAATAATATTAACAATCAAAATGATAATGGTAATTTGTATATCTTTAAACATTTTATTTTTTACAAAATTTGTAATGAGATGTTAAAAACAAACCATATTATTTTAATTATGCGTGTGTGTGTGTGTATATATATATATAAACAAACAGTATGGAAATAGATGACGATGGAAACAATGATTATATTTATAATATTGAAATATTATTTTTCAGAAAACATTTTAATATTTAAAATAAATAGGT